CGTATGCTGGAAACAAAATATTCTTTGGAAAGTAATTACTTGAAATCTCATCTTCCAACATAGACCTACAGTGTAACAAGAATCCTTATTATTTTTTTGCTCTTTCCGGTAGCATGTAATCATTAGAACGCATTATAGCCCAAGTAGCCTATTGTGCACTCGTTGTTTTTTTTGTTTTTTTTTAGTATTTCAGATTTTCAGAAGTCAGCATTGAGGGATATTTTTGTCTCTGACCCATTACAGCATATCAGAGTCTGTGAAATCAGACTAATTTCACCAAAAAGTGCAGCATGTTTAACATTTCAAATTAACTTTAAGGGTGAATATGTAATTGAAGTCACATAAATACATACATGAATAAATAAAACAATCATTAGCTCTTACAATACTTTGGCATGAGAAGAAAACACCACGCGCCATGTGAAAACCTAACATGAGCCCATACATACACACAAACAACAGCAACTCTATTCCCCACCCACTCCAACAGCATTAAGTGGGTGACATGCCTTGTTGGTCAGGTTGAGGGTTTTATCCCCAAAAGACATGAAGAACTGGCTTTGGGTTACAAGAGCGCCTGAGTGCTTGCAAAGTGCTCTAGAATCATGTCTACCAACATAGCCTCCATATAGTATGTTTATCTATCCTCTCTCTGGATTCATTACCTGAGAACTTTGGACAAGGAGGGAAGCAATATTCCCACGTCAAAGGATCTGGCTCTTAATGATACTGGGAGTCTAAATATAGACTGAAACAAAAGCAAAGCATGTTCAGTACAGTATGAGAAAGCCCTCTGAGAACAGCAGTAAGCTCATAATTCACCAACATAGTTTCATGTAATAACAGTCAAAATCTGAATCTTTAAACAAAGAGCAGCCTTTAAAAAGGATTCTGGTTTCCTTTTATCCATCTTACACAAATTAAGCCCAACTGGGTCACTGTCATCTTTTCTTCATACTTTTCATAATACTTTGGATTCTCAGTCCAAGCTAAGCCTGCTAACGGTTCTGTGTAGTCCGTTCTCATATAAACAATGCCTAAATAGGCCACAGAATCTATACTTGGTATATTTGACTGTAATCCACACAGCCATATTGAACACACTACACTCATGTTGTTTCTCGCTGCAGCCTTTACAGTGTGAGGAAATAAAAGGTTTTTGCATGTTCGTGGTTCCTCGATCAGCGGAGATGCAGCCCACAGATACTGACACCTCTGCTTCACAGTGGAGTTTATGTTGTGTCAGGTTCCCCACAGACTCTGCAGTCTGTCTGTGGGCCAGGGGAGCTGGGGAATCCCTGGAGAAACACACAGCTGAGAGGTTATTGAATTTGAAGGGAAAAAGACAGCATTGGGAAAAGGAGAGGACAGCGCAGGCAGAGTGGATTTCTAGAAAATGACTGCACCATACGCCTGGACAGATGTAAATCAGAAATCCGGTTTTCCTCCTTTTTTTTTTAAAACACAAAATATTTTGAAATTACATTGGGGAGTTCATGTTGATAAAACATAACTCCTGTGCATATGGTTGCTTTATGCTGCAACGGTTGTATGTGGCCTTTTTAAATTCCACCTTTTCTAATTCATGTAACTCCATCACATTATAGCCAAGATCACAGAATGCTCTAAATGTATTTGCATTTGAGCATTTCTCTTTCATCTTTAGTGCATATTAATGTATTCTTTTCTGCTGCATACACACTTGCTTTGCTCACCCCCCACTTCATGTGAGCATTACCCCTTTTCAAACATAGCAAGAAAAAGAGAAATTCAAGCCTTCGTTGCGCATTTTGTTTGCTCACTATTAACACAAGCTGAGAGATGGGAGAAAGCTGAAAAACACAGATATTAATAATCTGTTTGAAAATATGTCACCTCAAGGTGCTACAGAAGATTTGGTTTGATAGCGTTCCTTTGCTTTGGGTTACAGCTTTCAGAAAATACTACGATGTAACCATAATGTACTGTAGCTGTCTTTTCTATTGCTATTTCAGTGTACAGCCCTTCAGCATTATGTCCAAGACGTCTCATGGGGACTGAGATCTCTGGAGACCAGAGTACAAGCCAAGTACAATTACATTCAAGGAAATCACTTTGCATAGTGCCCCCTAAGACATTTCAAATACAGTCTCTCTGCTGTAAGGCCCCAAACATTTTATCTAAACATATAATTCAAATTCAATGTCATGGTTCATCACTGATGCATTTGTTATTACTTGAATCCCTTGAGGTTGTTCTTTCATAATGTTGGTTGGATTTGTGCTGCGCAGTGGACATCTGTGATCGTCTATACACAAATAAGTTTGAAAATATCAAATCTAGAACATGTAGATGATCTCAAGGACAAAATACAACACAGTGAAGCAAAAGAATAAAGCTCTATTTTGCCAGCCCTTTCAAGACAAGATCCAATAATGATGTTTTGATGAAGGTCAAGTACCCTGCCTATTCTTAGCCAGCATAAAAATGTGTTATTCCAGCAACATACGTTTCTTTTACGCCTGTCTTGCATGGAAAATGTCTAACTATTCACTAAAAGGATCTGGTTTGTTTTTTTGTTTTCCTTTTCCTTTCAGCTTTGTCAGATTTGTAAATTCACAACATGCGCTGATGATAAAAAATGGCAGGTTAATGTACAATTTAGCTAATGTAACATGATGGTGAATTTGATTTATTAAGGCGGTTGCCATGCTGTAGTGATTACAGCACGTAATAATGTTGGGTTGAATTTGTTAGATTAATATGACTGTACTTCTACAGCCACCCCACTTAATCAATTAGTCAACTAATTTGTTATATGACTTCAATCAGCAAAGACTAATAGATCAGTAAGAGGTTTTTATTACGCTAACGTATGAGCCCACCTCACCATTATATTATTTTAGAGGTTTTATGTTGTTCTTCTAAGGTCAATGAGTCATTTTCATGTTTATATGTACAGTTCAAGAAATCTGTTTATGTTTTTACAGCATCTGCAAATGGTTCGACTGACTGACTGAATTTGTTAGCTGCTGGCACTTGATAAATTCTGTGAAACTACATTTGCTGTAATACCACAACATTTGCACGGACTGTTATATAACAAGCTACCAACTATTACAATATAAGTGTGCACAAAGCAGGAATACAAGGGGCCTTTGTGACCAAGCATAACATTATTTTGAAAGTGCTTGTCTCCAAATTAAAGTGTAAAAAGCAAAAACATAAAGAATTAATAAAAACAGTGTAAACACAATTATTTTTCAGACCTTTTTTCATTTTGTTTTATAAAGTTTTATGCAATAACTTATTTGAAACATGGTCATGTTAAAAATGTGAAGTGATTTATCATTTAGTTAGTTGTGGTGCTCTGTAGGATGAAATCACAACAAAGAATGAAAGTGGTATATGTTTCTAATAGCAGAATAACTCCTTACAGCGGGTGTAAAATTTAAGTCACAGAAGTAGCAAACAGAGAAATAATATACCTCTCAGTCATTATATGACAGTCATTGAAGTGCCAGTACAGCACATGATGATTTTGCTATAGTTGAAGACATACACTCTTCTGCCACACTGTGTGCCTGGATGAATGCATGAAAAAAATTACATTTAATGACAATACATAAAGACTCAAATTGATAATATCACATATATAACCAACAACTGGAAAAAAAGAGAAAAAACCCACAAAATGTCATTTTTTAATCCTTTTGTATTAAAGAGATCTATTTTTTCTAGAGCTTAACACCATTTTCTACCTCTTTTTAAAAAGCTTTAAACACAGACCCATACTATTGTCATATTGTTTTATTAAACAGCTTACCTTTAAAGGAACAAAAGGTCAGTCCATTTCTTGTCTTGCAATCTGGTGTCTCAGATATGCTAATCCATTTTATTAAGGAGTTTTACTTCCGACATACCAAGAAATGTCATCTGCGCTGAGCAGCATGGTGCAGAGCATACACATATTCCAGTACTCTATCTATAGCCAAACTGCATCAATTCACCACCATATAATACAGTGATGTACAGTTGCCCACTATGCACATATTCAGATTCCAATCTCAAGCTTAATGAGCTTCGTTAAAAGGGATCATATGTTTGTTAACATTACTGTTGTAGAAGGAGCCCCTTTTTAAATCGCATCAAGGTCTATATGTAACACGACAGCCACTATACTAAGATGCAACAAAGCTCTTCTGCATATCCTCCAAATGTTAATAATAATGATGATAACTGTTTAGATATATGAAATGAACATTTCTGTGCCGATTAGGTGAGTCACCATCACAATAAAACACTGCCACCGTAGTGCTCAGGTAAGACGATTTGTTCCACGGTTAACATGCAGGAATGTACCCTCACACACAAGGAGGGATCTAGTATGCTCTTTGAAATCTGAAGGCAAAGCCACCAAATGTAGTACATCAAGGGAGCAGCCATATGTTGTGTCTTTAGGCTTCATTTATATTCTATTTGTGTATCTCTGGGGCTACCGTTGCCCACTAGCTCTGTCTGTGGGGTCGCAACACATTTACATTTACAATGGTTTTGAATGAGATTCACTAGCAAATGTTGGGAAAATACATGGCTGCAATTTAGACAAAATTTGTGATTTGATCAGTCAGTTTTACATGTGGTATTGTACCTCTAATTAAGTTGTATTTTGAAAGATGACTTAGATGTTTGGCATTAAACAGGATAAACGTGGTGTGCCTAGATGTAAAAGATGTTCCTTTCATGGATTAACCTCTGTGGCAGCACAATCTGGGTGGGTAATGTCTGATACCATCACTCATATTATTATCACCATTATTAATATTCCTCAGTGTTCCTTTTCTTCCAGTAAGTGTGGGCTAGTTGCTAAGAAAAACCATCATCACTCACATAAAACAGCTCCTACACACACACACACACACACACACACACACATATATATATATATATATATATATATATATATATATATATATATATATATGCAACAAAAAAAACGCAAAATCATGTACAGAGCTGCATTACAGTCCTTGTTGATTGTTACACTTTTCTGTAACTGGTCGCATGTCCAGTTTGTGCTCAATTGCAACAAACATTTTAGGTTCCTGCTTGATGAATACAGTCTGTTACCTCAAAAAAGGTAAGTTATTCTACGCAAGTCTTTCCTAATCTTACTTGCCATTTCCAAACAAGTACAAAATTAATCAGCATGGGAGAAGCAAACTGAGGGCTAACTACAAACAAAAATGCCGTTGTTAAGAATAAGATCATCTGGATCTGTTAAAAACACTAATTTTGCAAACCAGTAGTGTCTGTAGAACATCTACACAAGAGTGACTAAAAGACTGTCTGAGCATGTTAATAGAGCACATGGCACCTATCATTAACAGGGTGACTAATGTCTAAACCACAAACCATACATTCAATCCAGGTTTAGCACAGAGGCCTGCATCATGTCTCACTCTTTACTTATGTGGTTGCCATATTGACCAGCCACAACCCAATATATGATTGATTTATTTCACACGTAATGATACATGGCTAGACAACTGTACACATTATATCAAACTAACAAAAATAAAGAAATACATAGTTGAAACGCAAGAAGCGTAAATGGCATTTAACATATGAAAGTTACACTGTAAAAATGTGGATCTTACAATTGCCATACAACCAGACATTATTATTATTAATATACTGTACATTTCCATTCATTCCAATCATCCTAATATGGATGTTTAATCCCTTCTTAAATGCTGCTGCAGGTAGATGTCTAATCATCCTTATGACAGCATTTTATGGCATGATTATGGTAACCATGAGCAAGGAGGTCATATCAAATTCCTGTCTAAAAGCAAATATCCGGCTACTGATCTGATTCAAATAACACATTGTCAACACTTTATTTTACCCATACAGGTCTTTGCATTGGATCACCTTTCCGTGTTTGTGGATCATTGTTTTACCATTCTTTTATGCTGGCATTTAAGTATCAGAATTGTCAATTCAAATACCAAGTAGCTGGTTTTTACAAAATACATAATACACTCTCAGAACACAAAAGTTGATCATGATTACTACTGAAGCAACAGAAAAAAGTTTGTCAAACGGAGATCTGCATTTACTGTTCTACAACCTAAATGGACTTTATGTCACAAAGCCAATTCAAAGATTCACAATGAGTGTTGCAATTGAGCCCTTATGTTTCTGAGAAGTAGCCAAACTTAAAACATGTATCATAACCAACCTCCACTATCGCCGCCCCTGATTATTCACAAAGAAACAAACTATACCAGCTTATACATCCACCCCAAAATATCTCTGCATTGGAGTCTGCAATGATACATATTTAAATGAAAATATATTTATATAATTTGTGGATTTTTCACAGTAGTTTGTACTGCACTGTACCTTTTTGTCCATCTATGTATGCCTACATAATTGTCACCTTGGAGTCTATTGAGTCACTTGAGAGAGAGTGTGGCTTGTGTTTTTGTGGAAGAAAAATGTCTCTTGAATTTTGTTCTGTAATATCTCCGATCTTCAGTGTGATGAATGCTGTGCATGTCTTTCATCTCTGATGGCCAACGATGATGTGGGGACTGATAACTCTGAAAGGCTAGTTTTTCCCTATGAGAACACAGCTTGTAGAAACTGCAAAAAACATTTGCTTTGGCACAGATTTACATTGTAGCAATGTCCATTCCTTGATCTCCATGGCCATGATCGTTACTACAAACACAAGTGGCCCATTGTGGTAATCCTTGGCTCAGTACACTGTCACGGATAAGTCTATGTGTTTGTGTATTGCCGTGTCAGTCTATCCTCTCTCCTTGTGTAATGTCAATGCACTCTAGTGTCTAATCATTCCGTGCATAAACCCGACATCAATCCCCTCTCTGTCTCCGACTCTTGCTCACTCTCTCTCTATACTCTCACTTTTGTTTTTAAATCTGAGTCTCTTGGACATTTTCCTTCGAGCTTCCCTTGAAGAGAAGAGGCTCCATTTGCGGATTCTGGTTTTGGCCCATGAAACCCTTGATCGATCCATGTAAGCCCATGGTAGGCATGGGGAGAGACATCGGCAGCGGTGGCGACATAGAACTGGGGTTGATGTTGGTGCCATTGCCTGAAGTAGAGAGCAAATTAGATGTAGAGATTGGGACAGAGGTACAGGAGATGGGGATATCCTGGCATTGCTGGTTCTTGTTATTGAGGATCCCTCCTGGTCCCATCCCGTCTGTGCCAATACTAAGACCCATAACGTTGTTGTTGAAATGATGAGTCTTGTAGTAATGGTTGAGAGTGTCTGTGCGGCCAATGTTGGGAAGGTTGACTATTTCTGGATGATGTATTCTTAGGGTTCCTTCTCCACCACTGCCAGAATTCAGTGTCGAACCACCTGAGATGCCACTCCCAGCCCCGGCTCCAATCTCATCTTCAACATTGACAATTTCAATGGCTCTGGCAGGGCCGTGGTGCTTGTGTAGCTGGTGCTGCTTCCGTAGTTTATAGAATACCACCAACATTACAGCTGCCATAAAGGTAATGGCCACAAAGCAACCAATGATGATTTTAGTTGTTTTCATTACATCATCCAGGCCTGGAATGTTAGTTACATCCATTATGGACACAGTCACTGCATTTTCAGTAGCTCTGTTGGCACGTGGGGACAGTGAGGAAAGAGAAGAGAGAGAAGGTGATATGGTGATGCCAGGTCGGCCCTCTAACACCCCTCTTTGAACAGTAGGATTGGGAAAATCTATGAAGGTCTCGTTAATATACTGTCTCGCTGAGTTCTTCTCATCTCCTCTTACTGTCTCTACTGTTTCTACAGTGACAGTGGTGAAATAGCTGTAGCTGTTGCTGGGGTCTGAAGCAGACACATTGAGCACGGCGGTTGCAGTGGTGTTTCCAGCAGAGTTGGTTACCATGCAAGTGTATTGCCCAGTGTCTTGCACGGTCACATTTGTGAAGTTCAGTGTTCCGTCATGAAGCACTGAGATCCTAACTCGGTATGATCCGTGGGTCATCAGAGTCCCATTTGGAGTGAACCAATTTACAGAGGTCATCGAGGTTCCTGTACGACATTTCAGCTCAGCAGCCATGCCTTCAGTGACATTGAGGTCAGTGGGTGGCTCAACAATCACGGGGGCATAGCAGGTAAAGTGGCTCTGGTCTAGTTCCCCAATGTACTTTCCCTTTAGACCTGGGGGCGCATGGCAGCGAGCACAACATGTGGTGTTGCTGGGAACTGTTTCTTTCAGCCACCAGCTGAGCCAAAGGACATCACAGTTGCACACCCAGGGGTTGTGGTTGAGATGCACCCTCTCCAACTGGTGCAAAGGGGTGAAGAGGTCATGGGGCAGGGAATGCAGGGAATTGTGGGAAAGGTTGAGCTCCTCCAAGTTTTTGAGGTCATCAAAAGCATTGCGTTCGATGACTGACACTCTGGAGTGCATTAGCCACAGCTTGCGAAGTGACACTAGGCCCTGGAAGGACCCAGGCCTGACTATCCCGAGCTGGTTTCCTGACAGCTCCAACTCCTCTAGTCGAACTAGTGGGGTGAGGTTAGGGATGTCCTTCAAGCCACACATGCCAAGATTCAAGAAGCGCAAGTTGACCAGACCTTCAAAGGCAGCCTCTGAGATGAAATCCAGCTTCCTGAGTTCCCCTAGATCGAGACGGCGTAAAGAGGGAACACGGTGAAAGGCAAATGCCGGCAGTGTCTCGATGGGGTTGTTTCGTAGCCATAGTTCCTTTAGCTTGCTGAGGTACTCAAAGGCTTGTGACGGCACCACTGTGAGACGGTTGTCAAAAAGCTCCAGTGTGTTGAGGTTGGGAAGGCCAATAAAAGCTCCCACCTCAATTTGCCGGATGTGGTTCTTGGAGAGCTGGAGGATTTCCAAATGCCGCAGGTGCTTAAATGTGTCAGACTTGATCACCTGGTGTGGAAACAAAAACATGGAAGCATGTTGTAGCAACATCAAAATGACTGCTGTCAAAATATATTAATTCAGTCTGAATTTGTAGATGAAGCCATATTTACCTGAATTGTGTTCTCTTGTAGATTGAGGTATCTTGTGTTCTCTGAAATACTGTCTGGGACTTGATCTAAACTCTTCCTTGTACAGATGACACGGCTCGCCTGATTGGAGCAGGTACACAGGGTGGGGCAGGGGGGTGCTGCCTCTGTCAGCTGAGGTCCATGGTTGTGTAACCACAACAAAAGTTGGACCAGCCAGAGGAGGGGGGAAGGGGTACAGGGGCTGGTCACCATGACAACACGCATGGCAACTGAGTCATGACCCACCCCTATTGCTATGATGTTGATAAGTCACTTCCAAACAAGTGAATTTAAGTGCATATATTGATGTTCATATTGTATGCTCTTATTTATTTATTTTCTCCTTCAAGCAGCCACTTTAAGAATTGAGAGATAAAACTGTTAATTGTTAAAAATGTTAAAGACACCTATCATTAATTGGTTATTTTACTTTGCTCATGCTTCTGTGACCATCAAACAATTGTTCTTTTCAACATATCATTTTAGGGAACCTGGTATTTTTGGTTCCCTTGAGAATTATTAGAATAGAAATCAAATTTGGGGGAGGATTTGCTCTTGGAAGTGTTGTCTTTGTAGAGGCAGTTGCTTCTCACTGTAGGAGGAAGAAAGAAAAGAAGAGAGAGGAAGGAGGTCAAGTAAGTGCACAATGGAGTAGCTTTAAGATATTAGCTTAGCACATACATGCACGTCTTCTCAGGACTTCATTTAAATCTCAAAATATTACAAAGTCCTGACGCCAGAGTGTATGACAAGCTAGGTCAGGCTTTCTTTCCTAAAGAGGTGGCTCTCAAATTGTGGCCTGTAGTCCAACTGGTGAGTCAGCTGCCATTTTCTTCATAGGTTGAACTTAACATCTGGGTCATGGTCTGAAATGGCCACAAATTTCTAAAACCTCAAGCTTGGTCACAAGTGCTGCAACAGACCCATTGGAATGGCAGTCTCTTCATCCACGATATTGGTATATGCTCGCATAAAAATCAAAAGCAAGGTTGTGGAATGCAATTACAACTGCTGACGGGATTATTCTAGACGTGAGGTTAATGACGAAATTCATGCATTCCATCATGAGGCAGTAGCTGTAATTTAGCAATTAAGATATGAAGGAATGATTCTTGATTCCTGAAATTTTACTGCAATGTTGTGTGCAATGCACAATCAGCTAATGTTGATGAACCAAATGTGAAAATTACAACTAGATTGTGAACAAAGGGCAAAAAAGATTTGAGATTGAGATTTGCATTTGTAATAGATAAATGTGAATTTGTGTGTCTTGGTTAAGAGAGTGTCACACACTTCTTGAAACAGAAATTGCTGCAAGCATGAGCAGACTCACTATATTTAGAAAAGGATGGGCTGTTTACCCTTACAATGATTAGACCAAAAACAAAGTGTTCATTGTTTTGTCAAGCATGTTATGCTTGATGCTATGACTAGCAGTCACAAGCTTGTGTTGTCTGTTGAAAACAAATAAGAAGATCTTTGTTCCCTGTCACTTATATGATCACTGTTTTGCCATTATGGATATTTTATATAAAATAACTCTCCTAATGTTTTTACTCTCTGATAAATAGGTTATTTTTTAAAGGGTCCCTGGTAGTCCTTAGTATCTCCTCTCCTATGTAGCGACGATGCATGCGCTCCTAGAAACACGGTTGCTGTGGCAACTTGCTCACTCACCATCTTGTGTTTTTACTGTCCAATGCCCTATTCCACATTACTGTGTTTAGCTGAGCTTGATGAACATTTGCTGTTCAAGACTGACCAACAGCACCTTTGTGGTCTAAATCTTATATTTGATTTAAAGCGTAAGGTTTATTCTCATCACAGAATTTTGTGTTACACCAGATATAAAATCAACAGTCATTTTCTCAGTAGATACCTTGACCTAGAGGAATACAACTGAATGTTGAAAATCTAGTTTTGAAAATATATATTTGCATAAGTGCAGGGAAACCTGGGAAAGCACACAGTTGAACCTTAGCCTTCAGTATCACAACAGGGGGAACCACTTGCCATGAATCTTAATATCTACAAGGTCTGAGGATTAGGTCAACATCAGTCTTTATTAAAAACATAGCTCTGAGAACTCTTAAAGCAGCTATTAAGAAAGCTCATAAGGGAATGTATGCTAAAAATAGACTTTTTCAGATGCTCTGCACATCCCACAGACTCGCTCTCTCTCTGACACACACACAGCTATTCACACATCCATACCCACAACTGTCCTAACTGTAACTGCCACAGAGAAATAACAACACATAATCTATATCTAATAAGAAAAATGTAGATTTATGAATGCAAATGCTAAACTTGCATGTTATTCTATGCAGCCCCTTTGCAGCACTCCTCATTATGGTGTTCTTTACACTGCTGTCCTTCCTTGAAGAGTCTCCATCTCATCCCCACACAGCAGGTAATTATGCATTTCAATAACTTGACTGAATTGAAATAAAAAGTTTCATTCTCTCTCACATGTCAGAATTGTATCTAATCCAGAGTGGTGGCTTAATAGCTACAGTGATTAGCTCAACAGAAAATGATTCGTGGAAGCATCAAAACACAACATCATTAATATTTAGCTGGTTATAGAATTGATCATGCATGTGCTCTCTAAATGTAAATGAATGAGATGAGCAGTTGTATTCATCAAAAATACATTCTGATATTGGTCTAATTTTCCTTTTGCAAAAATGAGAAATTGTTATTTTTCACAGCATCGGTTGTTTGATGTATTTTCTTTCTCAAAATAAGTACTAAAAGTACATTGAAGGAATTGAGTTAAAGTTTGTCTTTGTATTAGGTGGCAAAGGTCACTATGGAGACCGTAAAAACTATATATGTAAAACACCACACAGGGTAAAATTGGATTATGGGAGAGACCTTGAATCTGCTAGCAGGATGCCTGTTGCCTTGACCCTGAATCTTCAAGTTCTCCACCACATGAGAGCTTAAGAACAACAGCATACACCGATGATGGCCTTTTTTTCTAGAATAATACACCTTGACTCATCTGAGGGTCAGTTCCTTTGCCAGTGGCCTTCCTCCTCATCCTTGTGCTAAATGTGTTTTCTTTAGGTTTATGACGCGGTTGAAACATCGTCTCTATTGTACTTTAATTCCCCTCACAGGTATTTCTCTTTCATGATCTTAGCCGTTTTACCATGTCAAGAGCAGATTGCAGCCATGTAGATATCGATTATTGGATCAGGCCTAAGAAAGCGCTCAGTCGTGAAAAGACAAATTAGCTGTAAGCTGCTGACCAATTGCTACAAACCAATCACATCATCGTAAGCGCCTGATTGTATCAATGCCCTGCTCTCCACAACAAATTCATTAAGGTTTATAAAGAGGCAAAAATCGTGGTGTTGTTATCAATAAACACCGAGGCTGTGGGGATGTTTCCTGTATGCCTACACAAGGCCCAATTAGACCTCATGTATTTACAGATGAAACACAAAGCGACACAGGTGCAGCAGGGCCAACATCATCTGCTGTAACTATGACAACACTAGATTGATTCAGGACGTGGGAATCAGGGTAGGATGGGACGCATTTCACCAGCACAGTAACAATCAGAGCTTTAAGAGAGAGAGAAATGCAGGTTCACGCCAAATATTTTTGAAACTTTCAACTGATGACATTTATATTTTTCCCATTTGCCTCATATCAACTCGTGAAAAAAAAGCTCCCCCCACCACCAGAAAAAACAGCCATAACCTGGCGGTTTCTCCTGCAGTCGCAACCTCTAATCTGCAATCTCTCCTCATCATATAGCCTCTAGCATAATATCTCCTACAATTCAACAGAATGGCCTTATTCATCTATGCAGCTGCGCTCACTACGGCGCACCTTCTCGGGAACGCAATTGAAATTCTGAATAGGCCTAATTCTGCACATGCTGCATTACAAAATGGCTTGCATCCATTCTCTCTTCATGGTAATGACAACATGACTGCACCCAAAAATAATCCATAGGCTCTGTATTTTTATTTTATTTATTTTGGTGGAAAATAACGTGTGGACATGTGAAACACACAGGCTTACATAAGGAACCGTGTTATTTTAATACATTTGCAAGGACTACCACAGCTTTATTCAACTGACATCGACGTTGACTGTATCTTTAGCTTATATAAATTATTTACTCAAGTTACTATGCATCTGTGTAGCCTTTGCACGTTTCATTAATCAATCTTTGTCATCTCGTGAGTGATCTCAGCATCCATGCAGATTAGGTAACAAATGCAATAATTAACGCCGGCCATTTCAGTCCTTTCTACCTGTACAACCAATATACACGTACCTTAATGTTCCGGCGGCTGCGGCGTAAGGTCGATGTTTTCTCTCCTCTCGCCCCTTCTCCCGACCGTTAGTTTTCTAACCTCGCTATCTATCTCTCCTTTTTCTCTTCCCTAAATTGATTCGCTTGTTTCCACGGCTGTGAGCAGGCTCTTGTTCTTGTAGGCTATTCCGCAGCGCCAACGCAACGCGGGGTGCTACAGTGATGGCAGGTTAAAGATGAACACAATCCACACACACGGGAGGGGGGGGACGGAGATCAGATTAAGGGTCTTTGGAGAAAATGATGTTAGTATTATCACATTCAGGAACGAGGTCTGGGACGAGTGCATCCATGCGCCTTATCATCCTTGGAGAGGAACGCAGGCAGCAAACGCGACGGCGCCCGGTGGGCAGAGCATTTTGCGTCCAGCATAAGAGGCTCTTTACGCATATTCCGTATGCTCAGTCTGAATCCCACTAAGACAGCATTAGAAGAATGGATGAAGGACTGACTGCTTATGGATGTACCTGCGTTTTCTTAGATGATTTAAACGTTTAAACATGTATGGATGACTGTTGTACGGTTCTTTAGCCTATAGTCTATTAGGTTTTGTTTAGTCTGCAGATTTTGTTTCAGATTGCAGGTGGCACAGAATCATGTAATGACTATGGAGTCATATTTATTAATATGACTCAGCAGTTCTGAATGATCAACAGGATAACTTGAGTCAGCCTGTTTCTCCTAATTCTGTGACATTTCAAGCATTTTTGGTCAGTTTTCAGTGTTTATCACCATGACATAGACACTTGTTTAGCTTTGAACCATTGGGCCAAAACATCTGTAGTAAGAAACATTTCTGCTCCATTGAGTCTTAAAGAGTTTTGTAGGCCTACTAACATCCATATTCATCATGAATGTGCAGTGCAAGCACATATATTACAGTAATGGCCAGCTAAGATTAAATCTAGCAGACTAATGAGGTCTGTTTTCTGCAGTCTTTGCATATGAGTATTTTTTCCCCTAAAACCCTTCTCAGTGGTATATTTTAAGCTGTACATAAGGAAGCCACAGTCACTTTTACTTGCTACCATCATCCAGACTCAAAGAGCAAACACTCTGCAGCCCTGTGAGGTTTGCACATTTTAAAACCCAAACCTTGACATACTTTTGAATCCTGAAAATGTGCATATGAAGTATTTTGAGATCAGGTTCCAGAGTTAAGTGGGCTACCAGTGGGCTGCTGCACATTTTAATTAGTAAATTGAAATGAATGTCAGCAAGTTATTAGCCAATAAAGAAAGCTTCAGTCAGTAAAGCGATGCCAGTCTTTCTCTCTAAGTGGCCTACCCATATCGATCTTTGCCATGTGTATGTCCATATGTGTCAAGTGCTGTATCTCCTGTATCATCATTATCCCCTTCACAAAGCAGGCAGCATTTATTTCAGTTCAAAATTGCAGAAGAAGAGAAGCACCCCTTGTAGCTTTGTATCCACTAGCAAAGGTTAGTTTGTAGGTAGAAATAAATCTCAGTACATCTTTGCTCTGTCTCAGCTCACACTAAAGGTCAAAGGACAGAGAAGGCCAGTTATGCTTCAGAAAGACCCCCAAGATATATACTCTCTCTCCTCCTCTCCATCGCTCTCCCTCCTTCCCTCCCTCTCTGTGAATGCCGTAGTGAGCATTGTTCACGACCACTAGCTTTTGCTGAAAGCTGCACAGCAATGAGGTCTCTGTGCCTTTTGCTTCTCTCTTCCTCTCCCCTCCCCCTCCTCTGCCTCTCTCTCCCACCCATCTCCCTCTCTCTCTTTCCCTCTCTTTCTCCCTCTATCTCGCTCCCTCTATTAAATTTCCAGTCACACAGTGGTGCAGAGGATATTCCTCCTTTCCCTCTTTCTCCCTCTTCCCTCATTCCCTATCACTCATGCTGAAATCTTAGCCCACATCCAGTCTCTCGCCCGACCCCGGCTGCCTTTCAGTGCCTTCATGCCACTCTCGCCATCTCCTCTGTCTGTACATCTTTTTGCCTTCCAACCCCCGCGCCATTTAAAATGATTCCACGCCGCCCATGCCAAACCCACCCTGTGCCTCCGCTCTCCTTCCTTCCCCCCTTTCCACTCTATGTCCTCACTGTGTCATTGCACATTGAATCTGATATCCTCCTTATGCATGTATGTGTGTGTGCAGGCACCCTTGAGCGTGTGTGTGTGTGCGTGTGTGTGTAGAGGCGATGGAGGGTAGGGAGGGAGAGGGACGTGCATTTGTGCACAGTAAATGAACAAACACTCATCGCTGTATTGCTTGTGTCATCAGTACAGGAAGGCTCTTGGAGTAGAAATACAGCGGAGAGAGCTAATCCCACTATCCAGAGGACGAGTGCATGGCATTTCCAATACAAACCCATACCCCATAAACTCTTAATGCTGTGTTAGGAGCCACAGGGGAGGAGAAGGGGAGGGCGATGAGGATTTGGCAGCAACATGCTAGTGCCAAGACATATGTGGCATGCTGATAGCAGTAGAGAGGTGCAGCTCACACTGTGAAGAGGCTTTGGAGGGGTGCTGATACACATCCATCACTTCCATCGTTTCAGGATACTAGCTGCAGGCCTCACTACTCTGGAAGTGGGTGGTTGAGTAATTGCAGACGGTTCAAAGCAAAGATTAAGAACGTGGATCATTTTTGGAGCAGTACCGTCGATGTTAGATTTGGGTGAGGAGTATTAGTGATCTGTTCAATGGCCCCAAGCGTCCAATTGGAATTGTGAACAAAGCGATATTTGTGGTGGTTATTTTTAGAAATGTCACAGAAAAAAAGTTGGATTGGTGCTCATTGCCATCTGTGCAAAAGAATAAGAGTGATTCAAGGGAGAGTTTCAAGTTATTCATGGTGACATCCCTGTGTGTGTGTGTGTGTGTGTGTGTGTGTGTGTGTGTGTGTGTGTGTGTGTGCGCGCGTGTCAGAGAGACAGAGAGGGAGAGAAAATAGAGAGAAAAATCCTAGTGTCACAGTATCTTAGCAACTGCCTCCATCTCCTTGGAGACAAGAACTGACATCATTTCCTGTCTGTGAGAACTCACTTTTGGTTTGTACACAGTGTATTTGTGCGTATGAGTGTGAGGGCATGTGTGTGTGTGTGTGTGTCTGTTTTTTGTGTGTTGGCGTGTGTCCACGTTCATATGCAGATGCGGGTCTGCAGTATGTGCACCGATGCAAACATGATGTATTTTTTGCGTCTCAGTCGGGGTGTTTTCAAGAATGTCCCTCAAATTTTTGTCATCAAAAAGACAAGAAAATAGATATTTTCTATAATAAGCATTATACGGGTATAGGGGTATACTTGAAACAATTTATTTTTGTTCAATCTTGGTATTATTTTAGAAAATAGGATTTTAAATGGAGCTGGGAATCGTCAAGACATCAAGACAAATGCTGATAGAACTCTAGTTATCGGTTATTTTTGAAGTAATTTTTTCTCATACATCAAATTTAAGTCCATAAACACAGTTTTTACCTTGTATTAGAACAAGTTTAGATATCCCACTAATGTAGAATGTTGTTTTTGTTTATTTTCAGTGTCTATCAAGTTTGTCAAGTTTGTCAGTGAGAGTATCTAGAGAGTCTGCTCTTTATGGGGTTACCAAGCAGCGTCTGTGTTTTAATGCAGAGAAAATGTCTTCAACTGCCATCTTGTGAGCAATCGAGTGAAGTGCAATCAGAAATAAATGCTCTCTTAGCTGTTTAAGTCACTGTTATTTCATGTTACATATGTGGTGGCAAAGTTTTGATTTATCACAATGCACTGTAAGTACTGTATGTATTTTAATACATCATGTAGAGGGACGCATGAGTGGATACGTTCAAGTTGGGTTGATCTTCCTGTGTTTAAACTTGGCTCAGGAACGCTGACTACATTCCATGGACGTTGTGTGGGTGGGTGTGTACGGTTCACATATCGGCCAAAAGGTTGTGTAAGGAGAGATAGATACATGACATAATTAGAGCGGTAGAAGGCATATGTGTATGTTTACACTCCTGTTATCATATATTCATGCAGTTAAGGACAGTTAGTATCAAGGTTGGATCAGAAACATACATAGAAGGGTGTCCACGACATGACTTTCAAGACTTGATAGACCTTCCATAAACTGCAGCCAAAGTGAACACACACACGTAAAATATACGAAAACCAGATGTTTTTCTGTTATTGTTATTTGAGGACTGGGTGTCCTTAGACTCACTGGGAAAAATGTGAGGAACGGGATCAAGCTAGCTCATTTGGGCACAAACAAATTTCGAAGATTGATTAACTACTGGTTTCAGCATTTGCAGGAAGACTGACTGGCTTTGTCCAAATATGGCAGGGTCTGTAAAGGGAGTGCAGGAGATAGTATGTTTTGGTAGGAATAGAAAGAGGGTGGATTTTCTGTACTGCGTCTGTCCATTCTGCAGAATCTACTCTGATTTCTTGGGGGGTTTTCCAATAAAAGAAATCTTTAAAGATGTATCTGTCTTCTCTAAATGATTGATTGTATTATTGAATATTCAATTAGGTTTGCAGGTGACTTCATCACAGTGATGAATGTCATAGTGGATATGTGATCTGAGACCACTGATCTTGCCAGCAAAGAAATTTACAAACTTATAACAGAAAAGGGTGCACCAGAATGGACACGATTCAGAAATCGGTTAATGGTGAACAAAAACCTAGGGTAATGCTTGTTATTGTTGATCAGGCCAGAGAAATACGTTGCATTTTGATTAATTTGATTGAGCACAGTTAGTAGCTCCTTCATGAGTACTTGGAGGTTTGTTTTTTCCCATCTACACTGGGGCTAGTCACAAGTAGTTTTATTTGGAGCATCAGTATCAAGTGCTAAGGTGCACGATTCATTAAACTGCTTAACAAAGTCATTAATATCTGAAAAGAGTAGTCATGAATATATCAGAGAAAAGAGGTGAAAACCAAGCTGCTGAAAGCTCATTACTCTGACTCTGAGAAGTCAGTATTGACAGTAGAACCGTGTCCAAAAGTATTCATTATGCAACTAAGTCAGACATGTGCCTGGAGTTCAGAGTCACTGACATTCAAAAACAGCTCTCACATAGAAATAGAGCTGGCTCCAAATACATTTGAAGGCAATGATTTTGTTTTGCAAATGCATCGAGAAGGAACTAAAAAAAAATCAAAGAGATTGATGACACTATTAAAGCTTGGCCAGTCCTGTGTTTAGAAACCACAGAAAGAGAAAATACTCTATAACCTCAACGACAACAAAAAAAAAAAGAAAACAAAAATGCTTCACCATCAAAGACAATCTTTAAGAGAAACAATACGGTTCACAGGTCTACTGGGATTACAGTGAATTTCCAGCAGAGAACTCAAAGACAACTGACGGATGACTCCATACAGTCAAAGGTTTGATGAGCGTAGATTCCACTGACCAC